GTTCCCCCCCCCCCCGATTTTTTTGTTTCACCAAACGCAAAATGGCGCATTCTGGAGGCATTTCAGACTTAAATAGAAGACTTATTCAGACATCATTTTCGGCCGAACATGCAAAACACATAGAACACAAAATGCAGCATCTTCTTTAACTGAATGTCTTAACCATGTATATATCCTAAAAGCCAATTTTTCAGACAGACGGCGTTGGCGGTTACCAGTTTCTCTAAAAAAAAATATTCGGAAGTCTTAGTTCTCATTGTCACATAATTATACATTTAAAAATTAACAAATACTAGAAGTTAAAATTGATTTTTATCTTTCATATAAAAGATAACCCCTTTTTCGTCCCGAAAGTAAATAAACACAAAGGTTTTAGCTACCAATTCTTATATCGGTGCCGAATTCCAAAAAGTTCTGGTCTTAGATCACTTTCCGAAAAAAAATGCGACATAAATGAACTACGGACGGATGAAAGAAAACTAGTATTCCTAACTTTTTAAGCTGGTTAATAACAAAACCAACTAAACAATTAATCTGTAAGTTACTGCTCACATCATGAACATATGATAACGCTAATATAGACAGGAAGTTGAATAGCAATGTATGTGAAAACGCATAACACAGGAATGATGATACCAAAGTTAGTTTGTTCTAATTTTTAGTTCATGAGAAAAATGTGATATAAATGTCATACATAACTATTATCTGTAATGATATATAACTACATGTATTCAGTAAACAGGAAGATGTTGGGCAATGAATGTCAAAATGCATCACACTGTATAGCTTGAAGCTTGATACAAAAAGTTTGGGTTCCATAGACTTTTATTTGACGGACGAACGGATGGACAGACAGGATGAAACCATTATACCCCTCCTTTCAGAGTGGGGATATGAAAATTCAGTAACAAATGTGCTTTAAAACAGTCGATCATACGAATGAATTTGCCAGAAAAATGATTTATATTCGCTTATCAAATGATTTTGTTGGTTAATGCTTCAGTTACCAACTTAAACAGATTTGTTCAGTTGACATTTATACCTGCATATTAAGGGAATGTTTAAGCTATATTAATATCTGCATGTTTAGATTACCAAAGCCAAAACAAAAAAGACTGCCTGTGTATATACGTGGCCAATTCTAACAAAATCTTTGTAAGAAGCTTCTCTTAAAAATGCGTTTTTGTTAATACGAATTAAAGTAAACGTCGTTCGGACAGTAAAACGAATTTGACGCGCATTGCAATTCGAATTAGAATTTACGTTTGGACGTAAAACGTTTCGAATGCGAATTAAACTAATTCGAATTAGTTAATGCGAATCAAATTCGAATTACGTGTGAACGCAGCATTATGCGATTTAGCCAATTCGAATTAAAAGAGAAGAGTGTGTGAACGCGATTAGCGAATTCGATTCGCATTCGATTCAAATTAAATGTACGTGTGAACGAGGCATCTGCATTTTCCAATAGCGGGAAAAACGGAACAGACACAAACAAAACTTCCGTTTTGCGTTCTTATTTTTCATGTCTGGCCAAAAGAGGGGATGAAATAACTAACGTATAGTATGCCAAAGTAGGTGAAAACAATCCACTGAAGGAAAAGTTATAAGTGACCACAATAAACACAATACGTTTCAAAATTTAATGAACTTGGCCTTAAAGTTGATACCAATATATTTCTAATGAGGCTGCAGTAGAAGTAGACTAGTTTAATACAGTAGCAATAAGATAAAATAATAATATATCTTTATTTTTTTCTCTCAAAATTTTCTGTGTTTAGATGAAGTGCACGCCATGGCGTGTTAGCGTATATGGAGCTAAGCCCCAGGAAATATTTGACAATACAACTTGTCACAATTTTTAAGCATCGGTCTGGTTTCCATTGATATTTCAGTAAAAAAAAATTCACTTTGATGTGAAAAACCACTATCAGTCATTATCAAGTACCCAATTCTCCTCCATTACCCCCTAATCAGAATCTTCACCATATAATCCATTGTGCCCCACACATTTTGTATTTTTTTATCTGAACTATGTTTGGGTTCACTCAACAAAGCGTGGTCTTTGTACCCAATGTGTATTTGCAACTTATCCTCCCACATTCTATTGAAATTTTCTCAGAATATTTACCATATAATGCCATTGTGAACACTGCCAGATGGACATTTACGCACTACAATCATACAACTGATACATCCAAATATAGTTAACTTATTGCTTAGAGTATCTGAGGAATATGCCTAACCGTGGAAACTCAACATAGACAATGAATTAACAAAAGGTCATTTGCACCTTGCAATTATCCCATACACCAAATATAGTTTACCTATTGCTTTTAGTATCTGTGAAAATGACCTACCCACGAAAACTAAACATTGACGAATGAAACTTGAAAATGTGGCCAGTCAGATGCTTCCTGCCAGACAGACATGTACACCTTGCAGTATTTCCATACACCAAATATAGCGGAGCTATTGATTATAGTATCTGAGAAAGATACCAAACCATGAAAACGCAATATTGGCAAAAAAAATGAGTCAAGATACGATGAACCCTGCCCGACAGACATGTACAGCTTGCAGTATTTCCATACACCAAATATAGCGGAGCTATTGCTTATAGTATCGGAGAAAGATACCAAACCATGAAAACACAATATTGGCAAAACAAATGAGTCAAGATACGATGAACCCTGCCAGACAGACATCTACACCTTACAATCATTTGATACACCTAATATAGTTAACCAATTGCTTATGGAGTTGAAAACTTGACCACTGATCCATGAAATGAGGTCAAGGTTAAGTGAACCCTGTCTGACAGACAAGTAGATGTTATCCCATCACTCATAGGTGAAAAAGTCGTGTGATCAAAAATAAAGTGTTTGTAGGCAGTAGCTGAACAACAAAAATGAGGTCAAGGACCATGGACAGTTGACAGACAGAAACTTCAGTACACATGTAGTCTGCATACAAGTTATTCAGGTCGGCTACCTTCTGAAATATAAAGCTTTATATACATAGTTTAGCTTCCTGTGAGAACATGTTTTATCTTTTAGTTGTTACTAGTTTTGATTAAATGTGAGTAATCTTAAGTTGGTATTTTGAGTGTTTTGTCTTTATGTCTGTTATATGTTTTCCTTTATCATTTTCAATCTTTTGTCATAAATTAGGCTATTGCTTTTTAGATTTCAGTTGTTTCACATTTTGTCATGTCAGGACCTTTTATAGCTAACAATATGGTAAAGGTTTTGCTCATTGTTGAAGGCCTTACAGTGATCTATAATTGTGTCAATCCATGTCATTATTACTCTGTTGGATAGTTGTCTCATTGGAATCATACCACATCTCCTTATTCTATAAAAGTGAAAAATGGAACAAATTGAAATTGATTGGTTGCACAGATTGTTTCCTCAAACAATGGAGAATAACCAAGTTCTCAAGTGTAGAAAAATTAGAAAAAAATTTCTCAATTTTAAAATAGCCAGTGCACAACTGCAACATGTGTGCAATCTTATTGCAAAGTTACAAAGATCCAGGTGGAAAACTAAATATGTACCCTGTTCCCAGTCCACCAGACCATTTTTGACTTTCTGCAACCATGCCAAAAGAAAACCATAAAAAATATATACTTATGACAACAGCCTGAATATTGTAAACTCTACTGTGGCTACAAGCTGTTCAAAATGAAGTTTCCTTCTGTTGTGTGTGGACAACAGGCTAAATGTTGTAAGTTCTATTATGGCTACCAACTATCTGTTGTGTGGGGACAACAGGCTAAATGTAAATTCTATTATGGCTACAAACTGTTCAAAATGAAGTTTCCTTCTGTTGTGTGTGGACAACAGGCTAAATGTTGTAAGTTCTATTATGGCTACCAACTATCTGTTGTGTGGGGACAACAGGCTAAATGTAAATTCTATTATGGCTACAAACTGTTCAAAATGAAGTTTCCTTCTGTTGTGTGTGGACAACAGGCTAAATGTTGTAAGTTCTATTATGGCTACCAACTATCTGTGGGGACAACAGGCTAAATGTAAATTCTATTATGGCTACAAGCTGTTCAAAATGAAGTTTCCTTCTGTTGTGTGTGGACAACAGGCTAAATGTTGTAAGTTCTATTATGGCTACCAACTATCTGTTGTGTGGGGACAACAGGCTAAATGTAAATTCTATTATGGCTACAAACTGTTCAAAATGAAGTTTCCTTCTGTTGTGTGTGGACAACAGGCTAAATGTTGTAAGTTCTATTATGGCTACCAACTATCTGTTGTGTGGGGACAACAGGCTAAATGTAAATTCTATTATGGCTACAAGCTGTTCAAAATGAAGTTTCCTTCTGTTGTGTGTGGACAACAGGCTAAATGTTGTAAGTTCTATTATGGCTACCAACTATCTGTTGTGTGGGGACAACAGGCTAAATGTAAATTCTATTATGGCTACAAACTGTTCAAAATGAAGTTTCCTTCTGTTGTGTGTGGACAACAGGCTAAATGATGTAAGTTCTATTATGGCTACCAACTATCTGTTGTGTGGGGACAACAGGCTAAATGTAAATTCTATTATGGCTACAAACTGTTCAAAATGAAGTTTCCTTCTGTTGTGTGTGGACAACAGGCTAAATGATGTAAGTTCTATTATGGCTACTAACTATCTGTTGTGTGGGGACAACAGGCTAAATGTATATTTTATTATGGCTACAAACTGTTCAAAATGAAGTTTCCTTCTGTTGTGTGGGGACAACAGGCTAAATGTTGTGATTTCTATTACGGCTACAAGCTGATCAAAATGAAATATCCTCCTGTTGTGTGTCGGTATAATTGAGCTTTCAGAAAGTCAATAATACATAATGTCATTGCACACTTTTTTTTATTGGAAGGATAACAGATCACAATTATAGAGCCATCAGGTATGGATAGCAAGTTGGTGTATTAAAGTATATCAGATTTAAACTATCTTTTTACTAATATTATATCCTTGACCTAGTAATAAAATTAATAAAGGTTTTAAAATAATTTATTCAAATATTTTCGTGTATAAATAGTAACATGATCACAGAAGTATTTAACATAATAAAATAGTACATAAATTTCTAATAAAATAACAACATGTTAAGAATTAAAAAAAATCTGTTTTTGCATCAATCCTTTTTCAAGCAATTATATTGGAATATTTCAATTTCTTTATTTTGGTAAAATCCAGTCTTCATTACAACACACTCATTCTATTATGGTGTTAAGAACCATTAGTGTTTCCATCATACACAATAAAATTAAAGCTGACATCGATCAAATTAGTCCAAAAACTTTTACTATCATCATAAAATTTGAAAAAGAAGTGTTTAAAGTATTTTTTTATACAATATTACAACAAACTCAACTCTTATTTCATAGTTTAAATATTTCAAACAAAACCGTACCTCTTATTTAAAAGTCCGAATATCTAAAAAATGTTATTACGAAAAGACTAAAATATGAGATCTAGAAAACATCCAAGTGTTCACAACAGGCATTTGGAAATTCAAAAATTATGCATTGAGCCATTTGCCCTTTTTTCTTGAAGTGTAAAACTGTTTTTATTTCTTTTGTGAATTATTTCATAGATTTAATATATCTTTCCAAATACAATTCTAAGGCATCCATCATTTGCCTTTAAAACAATGTTTATAACCAAATGCAGCTTGTAACAAAACTGAAGATAAAATAGTCACTGTCTTTAAGATATTTGACTCATTTATTTAGTTTTCTTCTTCTTTTTGGTTGTTCTACGTTTTGTTTTAGAGTCTACTATAAACTGGGATTGTTTCTTAATTGCATTTCTGTTTGGAACTTCTCCATCATCTTCACCGCTGTCTTCATCATCTGTGAACACAAAATTTATCATTAACTTTCTATACATATGTTAATGGCAGTGATCTGTATAATTTACAGTAGAAGAAAGAATTAAACCATGTTGAATGACAGCTTATCCCCTCTCATTATTTTTCTCCTTTTTCTTTTTAATTCAAGTTCTAAATTTTAAATTCAAACTTAACACAAGTCATGCATGCATTCATTAAATGAAGGTCAATTAGTGTGAACCTGTGTCACTTAAGCATGATACATGATACATGAGTTCCATTCACAATGGTCACCGTGGTACAAGATTTTAATAACATCAAAGTCCCATAACTCCTGATGAAAAGGTCAAATCAAAATGACTTAAAAATATGGTTAACTACATTAAATGGCAAACAGTCCAACTAAGTATGAGAGTTTTCTATTACACAGTCTAAGAGGAGTTGTGTTTGCAAGGTGTCATTGTGATTTTTGAAGGACCAACTCACAAGCTGATCGCTATAGCCCTTCCGCTGATTGACATATATGAAAATATTCTGTCAGTCTCAGAAGTTGCTTTCACCTGAAGCCATTGTGAATAGCTTTCACAAGAATTGTAAAATGACTGTAAAGTATGGTCAATAGAAAGTGATAAATAATTTTTTTTTAAAAGTTTTTGGCTAATGATATAAGTTTAAATGTGTGACATAATATGGATGATTACTATTACTATGTACAGAGGTTCTTTTGACAGGGAACAATGAGAAAAAATATACACACCTTCAAATACTGCATCTCCTCGTTCTTTCTGTGGTAATTTAACTCTTGTGTTATGTGTTGGTAATTTAGAATCAAAACTAGCATGATACTGAAATAAAAAAACAGTTAGCTAAAAATAATTTATGACAAAAATAACCTAATATGTTGTCCACTTGGTAACAAATCTGTCCATCTGTTCATTAATCGATAATAAACATAAGATATTTTCCAGTCGGATAGATTCCCAAATACTCAAATAGTCTGTTTGGAATATATATACGATATCTGCATTTATAATTTTCAACACGAAGAAGATCTCATATAAGAATTCTTAGGGTTTACAATTAAAATTCTGTTGGCAACTTAATTTTAATGTTATTCTAAAATCCTGAAGGGAGAAAACTGGTTTAAAAACCAAATTCTCCATTTCTAAAGTTGTTTTTTATTTAGAAATCTAACTGTCCCTCTTCACAATACACTTAACCAGAAGTCCTGCCATGCTAGGAATTCTTACCTCTTCCTCCTCCATCTGTTTGAAGACTTCATTCAGATCTTTACCATCTAGCTCCTCTAACAATTTCAGTAGTTTCTCTTCACAAGTTGATAACTGATCCAGGACATATTCATCTGATGTCTGTGGTATCTTGGCAGTAGGGACATGACCTTTGGTCTATAATGAGAATAATTGCATTGATTAAAATGATCACAGTTATGCAATAAAGATTTCCAATGGCATGCAAGTTAATTGTAGTAAAAATATAAAGAAAATATCCATTTCCAAAGAAGGAAAAATCTATAAACCAACATATTAATTCTAACTGAAGTTATATTAAATTTTCTTAATTTGAGGTCAAGAGAGCCTTTGACCTCGAGTTTGGTATTTTTGTTATTTTGCTCTATACGATTGGTTTTTTTTATCTTGCTACCCTGATATACAATAGATCTCAAAATCTCTATTTTTCCGAACAAAACATGGTATCATACTGCCTTCAATCATGATATTTTCTTCTGGGTCTTTTGAAATAAATATTTGGTTAAATATGGTCCTTATACTTTAATGACACACTCAAATTGATCTTATAACTACAAGTACTATCATTTACCAAATATTTTTACTGTTTTAAGTACTGGTACAAGTATACGTAATACCAATACAATTTGAACATGAAATGTAGTATTAAACCTTAATATGAAATGGAAAATATCTTATAGATTTATAATTTGCTACTCTCTATATCTGTTTTCAGTATAATATTTTCACTACAGAAATAGCAAATAGACAGAAAGGACAATTTAAGAAGAAAAAAAAAACTACTATGTACAGTATTGCTACTAATGGCTGTATCTTTACATAATGAGTCCTTCACATTTATCTAATACAAATGTATATATCAACTACTACAGACCTGAAATAAGATAACTATTTACATATATAGGGATTCAAAATATATAAGTCAAAGGTCCAGGAATATTGAATATTGTAACAAGAGGCTCTCAAGAGCCTGAATCGCTCACCTGTATTTCAGAGGAGAAGATTTTTAAATGTTAGCAAACTTGATGAACAAATTGTGTAAAATTGTCTTTAAAGGGCAATAACTCCTTAAGGGGTCAATTGACAATTTTGGTCACATTGACTTTTTTGTAGATCTTACTTTGCTGAACATTATTGCTGCTTACAGTTTATATATATCTATAATAATATTCAAAATAATAACAAAAAACTGCAAAATTTTGTTAAAACTACCAATTCGGTGGCAGCAACCCAACAATGGGTTGTTCGAATTGTCTGATAATTTCAAGGCTGTTAGATCTTGACCAATGCAACAATTTTACCCCATGTCACATTTGCTCTAAAAGATTTAGTTTTTGAGATATAAGCCAAAAACTGCATTTGACCCTTATGTTCTATTTTTAGCCATGGCGGCCATGTTTGTCGATGGATAGGATACAATTTATAAACAAGATACCCTAAGGAACATTTAGTTAAAATTTGAAGGTAATTGGCCCAGTAGTTTCAGAGGAGAAGATTTTTAAATGTTAGCAAACTTGATGAACAAATTGTGTAAAATTGTCTTTAAAGGGCAATAACTCCTTAAGGGGTCAATTGACAATTATGGTCATATTAACTTTTTTGTAGATCTTACTTTGCTGAACATTATTGCTGCTTACAGTTTATATATATCTGTAATAATGTTCAAAATAATAACAAAAAACTGCAAAATTTTGTTAAAACTACCAATTCGGTGGCAGCAACCCAACAATGGGTTTTTCGATTTGTCTGAAAATTTCAAGGCTGTTAGATCTTGACCAATTCAACAATTTTATCCCTGTCACATTTGCTCTAAAAGATTTAGTTTTTGAGATATAAGCCAAAAACTGCATTTGACCCCTATGTTCTATTTTTAGCCATGGCGGCCATGTTTGTTGATGGATCAAAACTTCGGATACAATTTATAAACTAGATACCCTAAGAAACATTTAGATAAAGTTTGAAGGTATTTGGCCCAGTAGTTTCAGAGGAGAAGATTTTTGAAATAGTTACGACGACAGACGACGGACGCCAAGTGATGGCATAAGCTCACATGGGGCCCTTTGGGCCCCGGTGAGCTAAAAAGGGACAATATTTGTCTAATAATTTCTACTTGTCTTAAGGCTATTTCATTTAAATTTCTCCATAGGAAGGCAGTCAAATTTTGGCTGAACCCCTTAGGGAACAACATTCATCTTTTTATCTATTTTTTCTGGCTTAGAAACTTAGTAGAAACTTGGACCTTTAACTAACAGAAAATACTAATGCATTCAACAAAATGCTGCTAATAATTTCAATACTGACACTCTACTATACAGTACTAATCATTCGCATAATTAAGCAAGTTCTTTGAATAAAAATAGCTTAATTACATTAAGTTCAACATTGTAATTTTTTCTTATCATTATTTATGTGCTTAAAATTTCAGTTTTAACACTTTACTTATAATCATTCATATATTAAGGGCTGTTCTAAAATTAATTAATTAATTTATTAACTTGAGTGCCTCCCATTCCCCACCTGATAAATTTGGGAACAGCCCATATGGAAGTTCTTCAAATAAAATCCACTATAAAGAATAATTACAAAGTTCAGCTTCACTGACACTTCTATATCTACACAAAACTGATGTTGTGGACCAATTTTTTTTTTTCAAACAGAAAAGTCACAGAGTGAAAACAAAATCGTATTAAAATCAACAAATATGATTTTAGTAATATAAGTAGGAGAAGCTGCTCTGCCCAACTTGATATTTTCAAAATGACCTCAGAAGCTAAAGAAATAATTTGTATAGCCTTAACCTAAAATGTCTTTTAAAACAATAAACATAGAGCCATCAATCAAAAAACTTTTGATGGAAGAATATGACTAAATAAATGTGGAAAAGTGTCCACATGTGGACACAGATGATGCCCCCGCTTGCATATCATATAGTTATAAAGGGACATAACTGAAGAACGGTAAAAGTGACACTACCCAAATTTGAACTTGATCTGAGTTTTGTGGTAATAAGCATTGTGTGTAAGTCTCATAACATTTGGTTGAGGCTAACTTAAGTAGAGAACAGAAACTAAAAATTCAGCAATTTTTCTATTTGTAATGACGCATAACTCTAGAACGGTTGTGTATAAGTTTTACAACATTTGGTTGAGACAAACTAAAAAATTCAGCAATTTTTATGTTTATAATGGGACATAACTCTAGAATGGTAAAAGTGTTGCCACCTAATTTCGTACTTAATCTGTATTATGTAGTAATTAGCATTGTGTATAAGTTTCATAACATTTGGTTGAGGCAAACTCAAGTTAGAGAACTGAAACAAAAAAAAATGTACTTGATCTTTACTGAGTTTTGTTGGAATGAATATTGTGTATAGGTTTCACAATGTTTGGTTGGGGAAAACTTCAGTTACAGAATGGAAACTAAAAAATTTTGCAATCTTTCTATTTATAAAGGGGCATAACTCAATAATGGTTAAAGTGACACTATCCAAATTCAACTTGATCTGTGTTTTATCAGTGGTAGTCAAAATTAAACATTGCATTGTATAAAGCATTGATTGTAGTTGATTCAACTATAATCATGGTCAAAGGAAGATAACTCCAATTTTAAAAATATATTATATAAACTTGATATTTAGAAGAAAATAAAAATTTTGCAATTTTTCCTTTTATAAAGGGGCATAACTCTAGATCGGTTAAAGTGACGCCACCAAAATTCAAACTTGATCTGTGTTTTGTGGTAATAAGCATTGTGTATAAGTTTCATAACATTTGGTTGAGGCAAACTCAAGTTAGAGAACGGAAACCAATTTCGGGACGTACGGACGGACGTACGTACAGACGGACAAGGGTAAAACTTAATGCCCCCTCCGGTACGGCGGGGGCATAAAAACAAAGGCACATAAAATCATGAAAGGAAATGAACTGATTTTTGTCAGACAAACTTCACAATTTAATTATAACATAAAAATTTCTACAGGAATTCTATACTACCTTTCTCTTATGTTCTGCCTGTAGTTTATTATAAAAATATTGAATATATAAATTCTAAATATATAATCATATACTGATGGTTACCATGGAGACGAGAAACTTACTTTATAACTCTGCAATTGTCAAATTCATGATTCAATATCAGTCATTTATGAAGCTATTTGAATTAAAAATATTTTAAATTTTAGTCTTAAAGAAATTATCATTTCTAATATCTGATTTTGAGAAAATACTACATTTCCCAAAATTTAATCATGGAGTTTTCTCTGAAATTTGTTCACAACTTTTATAACAATGAAAAAGAAAAAAATAATGTTGTATTGATACGACCAAAAATATATTTGCAGTTATTAAAACCTTTTACTTCATTTGATTTAAACAATGAAAATCAGAATTCATTTCCAATTTTTTTTATTAAAACAACCCAGTCGAACTACAGTTCTATTATCTATTATATTCCTGGGGAGAACAAATTATCAATGATCATGAAAAGTCCTACCTAAAATCAAGACTATACCATTCCTTCAATCTTGCATTAAAATAAAGATCTCAGTAAAATATATACCCTGATGAAGAAACTTACAGCTTTAAGAAGATATAACTTGTCTGTTAAATGTTCAACACCAGCCTTGACGGACACCATAATTGTACTATTCCTCTGTAACTCATCCTCAGCATCACCTCGTCTGTCCTCCTCTTTTTGTAAATGTCCCTGGAATTCTTCAAGCATTCTTTCTCCACTAGAATGTCAAATTTCAACAATTTCAAGATTATGAAATAAATTTTCCATCTCAAAATCAATTATTAGCATTTGATATAAAAGTAAGTAGGTATGGTATGATTGCTTATGAGACAACTACCCACAGGAGACCAAAAGATGAAGTTTTAAAAGCAGCTCCAGGGGGATATTTCTGTGCATTTAAATTGAAATGTGGTTCAGTACACCATAAAATCAAAATGCAATGAAAGGTTGGACAAGAAAAAGAAAAAACCCATGGCAGTAGACACTACAGAAATTAGGTGGTTGGTAATTTTTTTAAGCCTAAGGTTGTGTTTGGAGTTTTGGGCTTGATGATAATTTAGAGCAGAATAGGTCTTCTTGATTACTGCCTTGGATAATCACTGACATCTTACCTTGACAGTTTAGCATCACCAGAATATTTCATTTCTTCAAATTCTTGTTGTAATTTCTCCTTATCCTCCTTCAGTCTTGTTATACCCTTTTCATTATCTTTCTGTAGATTTTCAAGATGTTTTGTAGTATCTCCTTGGTTTTCAAATCGCCTTACAACTTCCTGTAAACATTTACAATCGTTTCATTTTTTTTTGTGTTTAATGAATATCTAGTAATGTATAAATTATTTACTAAGTTTGACTAATTTGCATCTTTTTTATTTTCATTTTATTAACAGGAGCCATGAAAATCTGGATGCCATCCTGTTGCTCTTTCTCCCATATTAAAATCTGTATTACAGTTCTAATGAAAACATAGATGACATGGACCTCAATGTCTTGATGAACTTCTAGATGTCTGATAAGCCAATCACACCATTTGGGTTGCTTGTTGTTTAGTGTAAATATCTGTTGTATCACTGACGACTATATATATCATGCAACTAATTATAAGGTTGAATGTTTAATACATGTTTTGCAATATATAATTGATTTTTGAGTGGCATGAATTACTATTTAATTGTTGGCTGATTGTAATGGGATAGGAATAACTGTTTTATTGTTAGTTGTTCTGTGATATAACTAAATTACTTTTCATCACTGGAGTATGACTTTACCCTATATGTTCATTTGCATATGTCTGTTACCTGGGACATTTTTTATCAGAACATGCATGGCTAAATGCAAAATTTAAAGCTTTCATTGAATTTCACATTAAATGAAATATGTTGTGAAGTTTAAAAATAGCGATGATATGAAGATATGAAAACATATTGTTTTCTTTTTTTCCACTGCTGTAAATCTACTGAAGTATCAAACAGTCCAAGTGATAAACTGTATGTATAAATTACCATGGTATCAGAAACTCCAGTTGCTTCCTTAATTCTTCTGAAAGCTTCTTCATATGATGTAATCTTTTGTTGTTGTTCTTCACCCTGTAAGGCCTGTTTCTCCTGTGGTGTTAGTTCATCTTGCTGTATAGAACCTCTCTGTTGCTACAGTGTAAAGTATTTAACAGATGTACATATGCAGAAAACTATTTCTCTGTAAGTCGCATTGGAATGAAATTTAATTAATTTGATCTGTTTATAATAAATTTTTAAATCAACAATATTTCTTTTTTTCTAGTGATCAATCTTTTATTGATTTAGCTTTTGATCAGTATAAGATATATATTTGATAGTCATAGAATAATAATACCTAATAAACATCTGCGCCATGAGCGCATGATACGCCCGATGTCTTGTGTGTGAATTTTTATGCAATAAGCATAAATAGTTTCTGACATACGGCGTGACATGCGAAAACCCCCTTTTTTTTTTACAAAAAACTCAATATCTCTAAAATAAAATTTTGAATCAAAACCAAAAAGTATACAGATCTTAAGATTAATATAACTAAGAAGTGTGTAAAATTTTAAGCAATAATCATAAATCGTTTTTGAGATACGGCGCGACATGTGAAAACCCCCCTTTAAAAAAAAAAAAAATCAATATCTCAAATATAAAATTTTGAATCAAAACCAAAACGGTATACAGATCTTTAGATTAATATAACTAAGAAGTGTGTTAAATTTTAAGCAATAATCATAAATCGTTTTTGAGATACGGCGCGACATGTGAAAAACCCCTCCCCCTTTTTTTACAAAATACTCAATAACTCAAAAATAAAATTTTGAATCATCACCAAAAAGTATACAGATCTTAAGGTTAATATAACTAAGAAGTGTGTAAAGTTTTAAGCAATAATCATAAACTGTTTTTGAGATACGGCGCGACATGTGAAAAACCCCTCCCCCTTTTTTAACAAAATACTCAATATCTCTAAAATAAAATTTTGAATCATCACCAAAAAGTATACAGATCTTAAGATTAATATAATTAAGAAGTGTGTAAAGTTTTAAGCAATAATCATAAATTGTTTTTGAGATACGGCGCGACATGTGAAAAAAAACACACACCTGTTTTAGTTACTAAGTCCTGTAACTCAAAAAGTTTTAATCTTATTTTCACCAAAAAGTATACAGATCGTTGGACCATCATAAGAAACAACTATGTTAAGTTTCATGAAATTTGGATAAGTCATTCTCAAGTTACGGTGCGACATGTTTACGCCGGACAGACAGCCGGACACAGGACATTTGTATAACATAATACGTCCTGTCAAAAATTGACGGGCATATAAAAACTGCACACATTTATTCTTTAACTCCAAATATATCTGACAAAAAAAGAAGTTATCCTAAAAATGTATTTTCTAAAGGGAGATAACAATCTTACAATTCTTCTTTCTATTCTTTCATGTTGTATTTTCTTTTCCTCAGCTTCTTTCTTCATTTTCTGTAATTCAATTTCCCTCTGTTTCCTCTCTGAGTATACAATCTTTTCATGTTTAGCTAATTCTTCCTGTGCTGCTGTTTTGGAGATCTGGGCATCATCGTGCATGGCTTTGAGCTCTTTCAGTTCTGCTTTTACACTTCTAATTTCACATTCCATGGAGTCCAATACACTTGGGAATTTTTCTGCTTCCTATATCATAACATCATAATTCTTTAAGTTAATATATCTTGTTAGTATAAGTGATTCAAAATGAAGTTTAACGTCAAATTAGACTTGAAATGAAATAAATGACATTAAAGTAAAAATGTATTTGTCCATTGAAGTAGTGTTGCCTTGTCAGCTGTTACCCATTGTGGGACTGTTTTTCTGAAGCAATTTCAATACCAGTTGAACATGAAAATGTCCACTTGACAATACACACAATAGCTAGACAAGATCGTTCTGTATGACAACAATCCTTTTTATCAAAAGAAATTAAATATTTTCATTCTTTTATTTAAAGATAGAAAAAAATTTTAAAACATTTTTAATATGCAGTCTTTGAAGAGTCAGATAAATTATTTCAAATAACATTACAGTCAACTTTAATATTTAATAATCACTTAAGCCAATATCCCTATCAAAAGTTGAACTAAACTTTTTTTAATACCTACCACACACAGCTTTCTATTAATATCCTGATAAATTCTGTACAAATGTGTGGCTTCATCCATCTTCAATTTTGTTTTGTCATAACTGTTTTCCAGGTACCTAAGAGTCTGAAAAAAAAACCAATATTTAGAATTTTCCCCTTTATGTTTTGTTTTAAAATCATGATAATGGAATTTGCTCCTTACTTAAAGTAAGAATTTAGATAAAGCCTAAATATATGTAATAATTTTATATTTCATGTACACAAAGATGCAATTTGTTATTTTTAGCAAACAATGGCAAAAGAAAAGTTGTTTGAAAACCAGAATTTAGAATTCCAAAATGTCAAGAACTGTTACACATACCAAGGCATTGTTTTCAATTACAACACCAGTTTTTGTATTGAAAATGGGAGCAGGATCAGAAAACATTGTATACATCATATAGAAAAATCAAAATATAAATTTACTGGATCAATGATTTAACAATAGACATGATAGAAGGGTTCAGAAATAAGTTCATTCCCTCACATTACAGAAAACTAGAGGGCATGTTATCAGTTTGTCAAATTTACATCTGTATTTCCAAAAAAAATGTACTGCAGTCTCAATTGTCTATGCGATTTTTTATCCACTTATGTAGTTTATCTGTTTTTTTTTCTGTTTGTTTTCTATATGAACAGCATCCCCCTGAAAAACAAAATACAAATTGGATTTTTTTACTCCCTATCAGTTATTTACCTGAGCATCAACAGACTCTCCTTTGTCTGTAGATACAGCATCGGCTGAGTCTTTCTGCATCTGATCATACCGGGTCTGTAATATCTCTATTTTCTTTTGTTTCTGGGCAGACTGGTGTTTCAAGGCATTTAGTTTCTTCTTTGAATCACATAATTTGTGTTTCATTACTGTAATTGCTTGCTACAAACATAAAAATAGGCTGTCATTAATTTATATTCTTGTAGTGAAAATATAAAGCTGGCTTCATATGCCAAGGCTTAATGTTTCTTGATTTTGAATGTATGTTTTGAGATGGAAGATCTTTTATAACTTTATATATTTCCTCATAGAATTATCTGGTGGTAAAGTTCCATGAAAAAAATGGGTAGCATAGGGTCCTCTGCATCTCAACAAGAACATCTGTGCAGTTGTAAGTTGTCATCTTCAACAGGTCTCTACTTTAAATTTGTTGATCTTTTGCTTAGAATCTTTTTTAGTAAAATGATGATCAACCACATTCATGACATTTTCAACAAACATTTTTAATAAGTTTTGAAATACATTTTATTTTACTATCGATACTTAGTACTTACATCTCCAGTCTTATTTTTGAATTCGGCTCTCTGTACAGGTTTGTCTTGAAAGGCTTTATTAATGACATGTTGGTCTTGCTGCAAATTACATAAAATATCAAAGTTTACCATACAAATAAAAAGAGAAATAATTAATCTATTAAAACATTAAAAGAGTGTAAGACAGAGAAATCTCACACATGTAATAATAAGATATCCTGTTTCTGGCTTGTTTGAGTCCAAGTTGGTAGGACAACTGATTAAAAGGTGACTGAAGTATCCTAGTCTTGTATGTTTGCAGATGTTCAATTTTTTTTCAACTGTTAATGTTCAATTTCATAATAAGAAAATGCAAAGTGTATCTGTCTAACCCAGGGGTTTGGTTAAGACAGTAATTAATGTCTCCGTCTTAAACAACCATGAGATAGTCAACAAAATAACCAAAACAGCTGGAATTGAAAAATAGAGATTTCTCTTTCAACAAATAAGTTTAATAATATAACTGTACAATGTAGTACCATGAAATACTTCATAGTAAGTGGTATCAAGCAAATAACCTGATGGTCATGTAGGAAGTTACTTTATATTATAAGAACCTCATATGCATACTCCCAGTTAAAAGATAAAAAAAATAAAGAACTCTGAAAGAATTGTTTATAGATTTAAGTTATACTCACAGACAGGGAATCACTTAGTTTCTTTCTTAATTCTTTAGCTTCTTTTCTAAGTTTTGTGACAGTATCTTGATTGTGTTTCATAGCATGTTGAGATGTCTCGTAGTATGCCTTCCTATCACCCTCTATATAGAACAAATAAAAAACAACATTTAAGTGAAACAGGTTTGGTAACTTCAATGAAACGACAAAAGTTTATTAATCAGAAGGTAAAATATTTGAAGATGTGATGGGAATTGGTTACATATTTATCAGATAAAAATCACTGAATTGGATTCAACTGATGAATTAAATAACATCCTTTTTAATGGAAGGATCTACAATTAAAATCTAAATGCATTCTGTATTTCAGAAAAAAGTTTTATGGATTTTGAAGATTTCTTTTTTTTGTTCCTACAGAATTTTCCAAAATAAACTAAGTTTGGAAAGTGTTTGAGATATTCCCCTTTGCAATAATATAGGTGAGTTGAGATTGACATCTAGCTGCAGAACCATAGCTCTTATGATATTCTTTGACAATTTGCAGAACAATCACAGATAATTTGCATGGGCAACAGATTTGATTGACAATAGATATCTCAGGGGTTCAAATTAGCTGTGGTCCGAGGTCCGCGACCTTCCACTATTGCAATCGGACTTTCGTTTTGGTTTATACTAGCTACGCCAGACGGACCTTCGATTTGAAAGAAAATAAAAATTAACTTTGCCAACCTTTTTAACATAAATTTCCAAACGATCTCAAAATTTATTTTCATCTTTATTATTCATGACATCGATGTTCATTTTGTTCAACCGCTAGCTTTTTACCGAAAAATCGCCAACAAGTAATGTGTAAATCCGAGTAAAATCGTATCAGACTGATAAAAACAATATATGCCATAAACCGAAAATGAAGACAATTACAATACCGGATCAAATTCCGTGGGCGGATAAGGGTTATTCCGGGTTTGCCGATCAAATACAATAAAAAAAAATAATTCCAGGCAGTTGACAAAATACATCTATGATGATGAAATATAAACACTTGAATTGAAATCCAAAAGATATATTGAAAAGAAAGAAAAAGCAGGAAATATTTTACACAGAAACTCAAAATTACTTTTAGTTTACAAATTTTCATGTCAAAATCCAATAAAATGTGACAGTAATTTTCTTCATCATTAATAAATGCTGATATTACATGTAGATGATTTTATAGTGTAAACATATTACTACAATTCAATGAGGTAATTTCTTCTCAATTTTGAAGGGCCAGTAATAAAAATCTGGAAGTTTCTTACTTTATTTTCACAGAGGAAATAATATAATAGTGCAACTAGATATGATACAATTAAACAGCTTTGAATTTGAACTGCTTAATAAAATGGTATAATTAGTAATTAATAACCAAACGTTGAGACAACACACCCACCACCAGTGACACCCTCGGCCTCCCCAATACCAAAAAAAAAAAGATTATTTGAATTCACAATAAACAAGACAATTACATTTATTATTAAACATGTTATACAACAGTGACACTGACAATGAAACACATTAATTTTGTATCTTACTGAGTTATGAAATATTTCAAGTAAAAGTAGGACCTGGAATTTAGGTTGTGGACCTTTCAGGTTGGAGTGTCAAAGGTCCTGGACCTTCCAGTACCAAATGTTAACTTGAACCCCTGTATCTGCACAACAATTGTGTATTTGAGTGGGCTTGTCAAATGAAATTCATGTGTTGGTTTATTTTGCCACTCCTTTAAATTTTGAAACAAAAATTTAAAAAAATCTCAAAATCAAGGTAAATTTTAAATTTTCTGAAACATAAAATGCATTTCAAATTTAATTATCTGGTTCCTGTAATGAATTTGTGATGGGATCAATTCCCTTAGTATGTGTAGTACTAGTAGATAATTAGCCAGTCGTAAGCTGTTGAGCTAAGCAAGTACTTCATTAGCTCAGTCGGTTAAAGTGCTGACTTGTAACAGAGGTCCCGGGTTGGATTCCCTGAGGAGACAAAGTGATTTGTATGAAAATCATGCTCTCTGGTTACATTTGGTGCCCAACTAAAAAACCCATGGTGGTCAGAGAGGATTTCTAGCCAGGGTATGTGTTATTTGAGTCATAATGGTATAATGTCTTATTAATGACTCTTGAGGTGGGGGAAGTGAGATGGGGTTGCTTCCCCAAGTACATATAGTAGATACTAAGCCAGCTGTTAGCGGTTGAGCTAGGGAAGTACTGCTTTAGCTCAGTCAGTTAAAGCGCTGTCTTGTAACAGTCCAACACAGTCACAGGTCCTGGAGGAGACAGATATTTTGTAATGAAAATCATGCTCTCCGTTTACAAATTAGACTTTACGTGGTTTGTCTGTATTCATAGTAAATTTTGAGCTGTAAATTAAACATGGCCATATTTTCAATAAACTTCTGATGAACCTTCATGACCTTATTTTTGGAAATTGAATTATTTATAATTTCAATATTTGACTGCATCGTCTTACCAAGAAGGGCGATCTTTGCCTTAAGTTCTTCAATTTGTTCCTGAACAGGCCGCTGCATTACTGCGTTTCCTCCTACCGGCATCTTGATGATTACAGACGGACAATCTTTCGTACAGTTTGTTGTCCTCTTTTAGTTTGTTGGTGCGTCTCCAAGGTGCCCTCAAAGTGCGCATGTCCAAGTGGAGCTAACTAGACACCAGAAATTGGGTTACACTAAAGACCTGAACGTGGACCTGAAAAGACCTGAAAAGACCTGAAGATGTAAGACTCGATTTATTCAAATTACAATTACTATTTCATTTTCCAATGGATTTTCTTCAAATTAGAATTTCTTTAAAGGTAAAGATCCACATTTTATTGGAAATAAAATGTTTCAAATAAAAAACAATTTTTTGATGCCAAAACGTGGACCTGATTGAACGGAGAAATGAAAAGACCTTATGTTCTTATTCAATACTTCAAACGAACATAAAGCATTTACAAAGTAAAAACTCAACACAGTTTTTGGTTATCAGCTCGCCCCGACAGCACAGAAAGCTTATATTTATTATAAACAATAAACAAATGTCCAATTTGCTGTCATCGACCGCTGCCATCACATATAAACACAATCTACAATAGAAAAATGTTCTATAAGTTGAAGAAAAAATCATTTCGATTTACATACATGTATTTTATCAACTATTTTCTACATAACATACTGATTCACATTCCTATGAAGTCTTAATAAAAGGGGTGGGTGGGTGGGAAAACGAACCTTTCTGTCGGATAGGCGAACCTCGAATGACAATTCTAGATATCTTATTATAATTTTAGCGCTAAAATTCTAGCATGAAGTTATCATGATTGATATAACTTAAACCGGTAATAACTTACTGATGGTCCAATCAAATTAAACATAAACATGTTTTGATTTAAACACACGTGTTAAAAGTAAACAAATACACGTGTTCCCGAGTAACCTTTATAAATACATTTATGTTCTTATTCAATACTTCAAACGAACATAAAGCATTTACAAAGTAAAAACTCAACACAGTTTTTGGTTATCAGCTCGCCCCGACAGCACAGAAAGCTTCGATTGATAAAGAAAGGGACATAAAGAAAAAGGGGGGACAAACAATATAAATTACAATCCTAAATTCTTAGATACTGACAATCTGTTGAGTATACTCTCTTTAACATAACCATCTTTGGCTTTATCACTTTTCCATCTCCCGTGTTTCTTAAACAACCGGTCATCTATTCCAGCTTCTGCCGCGGCAGTAGCTCCTCCTGACCTCAAACTATGTAAGCCAAACTGTTTTTTATCAAGACCTAAACTGTCAAGTGCAGATAACAATAACTCTCTGGCTCTGGTGTAAGAAATATGACTACTCTTTCTAAGTTTGTATATATTCAAAGATTTACAATAACAAATAGATCTAAAAATAAAATCATTCGATTCTTCAGGAATGTTAGCTAACTTTAGATAACGCTGAAGTACATCTACCGGGCATGTAATATTCCCTGTTTTTGAAATGACAACATCTTTCCCTTCCCTATATACATCAGTTTTACTCTTGACTAAATGAAGTGTAAGGTAAGTAGGGGAAAACTGTATATCAGACCTTCTCAAGTTAGCTAACTCGGAGAATCTTAAAAAGCCAGCATAGGCTAATAAACACATACATGCTATTCTTACATCTTTTAAATTACAAGTATTATTAGCATATTTACATACAATATTTTTCAAAATATGCGGTGTGATAGGTTCTTTTTTGACAACTGAATGACCTATTTTTCTATGAGCCCCTTCAAGAACAGATGCAACTAGATTATTTTCACTGGGATCAGCAACGCCAGCTAATTTATGTGCCCATTTTATGGCGTAAAAAGCATCATTTAATTTTGAAACCGATTTTGCAGTTTCAGACAAATGAATTAAATATAAAGAAATATGTAAATGAGATGCTGGCAATGGTGAAAAAGAATATTGACTAGTCCACTTACACCATGAATTGAAGGCATATCTATATTTCTTCTGAGTACTCGCAGCCTTGGACGAAAGAAGGAATTCTGGTAACTGTTTGAACAAACTGCTGAGATCATTATTAGAGGCAACTTGTGAATTAAAGTCTGACCAATGTCCTACTGAAAAAATATCTGAAAAACGTAAAATTGCAATAACATTTTATATACATATACAGAGGACGAATTATTAGCATATTTCAGATTTCTGTACACAGTAAAATATAATATATATTCAAATATTTCAACGCCAGCTACAATATCTTTATAGATACTAGGGCCATAAACTGTAAAACAAATTACCATGCCTGCTAAAATATCATTATAGATACTAGGGCCATGTCAAATAAAAAACCAAGCCTGCTACAATATCATTACCGATACTAGGGCCATGTCAACATAAACACCCATGCCTGCTACAATATACATATACTAGGGCCATGTCACAAACAGACCATGACTGCTACAATATATCTATATATATATTAGGGCCATGTCACAAACAGACCATGCCTGCTAAAATATATCTATATATATTAGGGCCATGTCTAAGATGCATCTAGCAAAACAGCCAAAACTGGCGAACCAAACGGTTCAATTCCGAATATCGTATTCTTATTCGAACCTTGCTTATAAATACCATCAGTATTTTTAAACACAATAACATCTTTTACGTAATCTTGATAAATCAGATGTCGAATATCAAAGGCCAGAAAGCAGCAGAAATCCACTTAGGCACAACTAACGTGCCTCGAGCTTTACAAGCTATAATGTGTTTAATCGATCGTATCACAAGATTAATTGGTGGAACTAGCCAATTATTTTCATTGGTCCAAACTTTAGAAAATGCATCAACTGCTTCAGAATCAGGTTGCCAAAATAAGGAGTTAAATCTCATAACTTTTCTATTTTCGACACTTGCAAACCTGTCAATCGAATAAGGACCCCACATATCATTTAAAAAATTGAAAAATATATGTGTGACTCCCCAGTCCTCGAAATCAACCATTTTGCTGATATAATCAGCCTTTTCATTTTCTTTTCTGGGAATCCATTGAATGTCAATTGATATTCCTTTTTGAATGCAAAATGAAAAAATAGATTTTGCTATAACATGAAGATTTTCTTTCATACTTCCCGAATTAACAATTTTGACACAATTTTGATTGTCAGTAAACCACTTTATAGTTTTTCCTGTGAAACTATTCTTAAAAGAAAAAAGGGCCAACTCTATAGCTTTCAGCTCTCTCCATGTGGAGCTTTGTACCGTTTCACTACATGTCCACATCTTATGGAAAATCTTATTTTCTAATTCAACGGTGTATGCACCAGCGGCAATATTACTAGCATCTGAGTATATGACAACAGAAGATTTACTGTAATGACATAAATTACTATAGTTAATCATGGTGACATTTTCTAACCAGAACTTTAACTCTGATAAAACCTCGACGGGTTTGTACCCTGTAATGGGAATATCCCACCCAATTCTACTTTCAATTTCCATGTAACAGAACTTTGACATAATTCTAGCCACATTTCCGATTACGGGAGTCATAGAAATAATTCTACCTACAACCTGAGCTAAAGATCTAGCTGTAACATAGGGAAATTTAGCCAAAATTACATTCAATGAGAAAATCAAATCGTCAACTCGACGTTGAGTAATAGATAATTTGTATTCTTTCGAGTTCCAAACTATTCCCAACCATTCTAACTCGGTAACAGGTTTAAAAACAGACTTCTCCTCGTTAATAAGGAAACCAGCATCAATCAAAGACCTTTTTACGAAGGACGATTGCTCATTACATGTATTTTCATCTGGACTCATGCCAAATCCATCATCTAAATACAAAACAACTTTTATACCGTTTCCACGCCAAAATTTTACTAGTGGCCTCAAACATTTAGTAAAAATGTACGGACCGGTAGTAATTCCGAAAGCTAAAACAGTATAGCAATAAAATTGACCTTCCCACTGAAAACCTAAGAAAGTCTGTTGCTGTGAGCATATGTCTAAGTGAAAATAACCAGATTTTAAATCAAACTTAAACAGATACATATCTTTGTCAAAATATTGTATAGCTAACTTCCAATCCTCAAATTTTATTTTTTCGCGCTTTATGTGTTTATTCAATTGACTCATATCTAAAATAAGTCGTTTCTTACCGGACTTTTGAGTAGCAACACTCAATGGATTTACCACATATGGTTGAAAAGGCACTTTAATTACGCAACCTATTTGAACTAAATCTTCAATTGACTTTGTGACAAATTCAGTATTCTGCCGTGCTGATCTATTATTTCTGTGGTACATTTTAAAAGGTGTATCTATAAATGGAATAACATAACCATTTTTTATTGTATCAAGCACAAAAGGACAAGCACCTATATTTTCCCAATACTTTACATGACAAGCTAATCTACCTTTCACCCCTTTAAATTTATCATATGACTGACAATTTTCAAAATATTGAACTTGATCTAAAAAAGATTCTATATAATCGTTATCAACAAAACATGTAGAAAATTGGTCATTAATAGTGTCTAAATACTTATCATTCACAATGACTGGAGAGTGACGTTCAGGCCCTACTTTACTACTTCTGGTAGGTTGTGGAGTTGCTGTTGGATGACCTGAGACTGGCGAGAAGAGGACAGTTTTTTCTCCAGTGGCCTTGTTGCTTGCAGTAGTGGCACGTGTCGATTGAGCAAGGCTCACGCCTTGCGAAGCTCCCACGAAAGGGCTGTTGCTGATTACGTTGATAATGCTGAGCGTAAGCAGGGTTACCATAAGATTCCGCAGGTTGTTGACGAGGCGGATTTTTTGGGTAAGGTTGCTGGCGAGATTTTGACTTCTCCTTGGAGGTACGGATAGCTCTGGTCTCAGCTTGTCGTATCTTTCTCTCATCTTCAGAATCTGAAGCCACGGCATTGGATTCGTATTCCCTAACGGTTCCCCAACCAGCAGGGGAAGCATCAGCTATGCGTATTTTCTTATTACGGCTTTTGATCTTATCAGTTATGTCAAGAACTAATCTATAGGCTTGAGTATTGGAGTTAGGGATGAATTTTGAAAGTTTATTAACAGTGTCTAATAATTCCTCGTTAAAGGTGTACTGAATTCTGTTTCCTTCCCCCTTAAATTTTAGAGTGACGTCCTCCTTAATTTTTCTCTTAAGGCAATCTTGTTCTTGTATGAGTTCAGATTTCAACTCACCTAACTTGCTGTCTAAAATTGTCTTAAAAAGCTCTACAGTATCTACCAAATCAGACGACTTATCAGCTGCTTTATGAATATTAGGTGGCGGTAAACTATTATCTCCTTCGAGTAGTATGTCTTCATTCAATTCCAGACGTGGAGAAGATTCGGACATTTTACCAAGTGGCGATTTAAGAAAAAACGAACCTTTCTGTCGGATAGGCGAACCTCGAATGACAATTCTAGATATCTTATTATAATTTTAGCGCTAAAATTCTAGCATGAAGTTATCATGATTGATATAACTTAAACCGGTAATAACTTACTGATGGTCCAATCAAATTAAACATAAACATGTTTTGATTTAAACACACGTGTTAAAAGTAAACAAATACACGTGTTCCCGAGTAACCTTTATAAATACATTTCCATTCAAACGGACCTGAAAATATATGGTTGGACTTATTCAAACTTCAATTACTTTTTAAATATTCAATGGAAGTCTTTCAACTTTTGATTTTGTAAAATGAAAAAATTAACATTGACACCACAATAATATTTTTCACAATTTCTTTTAAAATATTATTAATATATTGAATTTCATTGAAAAAATAAAACCGTTTGTAATCTGTAAACGAATTTCTGCCAATCAAGGCACACCTCCGTATAGAGGAAAGTAGTTCCGTCAATGAGATTCCTCCACCAGTATATACACAGTTCAATTTATGGTTCACAATAGTTCGTACATAAAGTTATCTTATTTAATATACATGTTCACGCCACGACGTACAGTGTTAAAAATATTTCAAATGCAATTAAAATGATAAAACTTAATTTTAAAAATAAGTTAACAATAAAGACAAAAAGTACAATTATTATAATTTTTAACACCGTTTATGCAATCCGTAAAAAAAAATTTAATAGACTTTAAAACTAATAAAAGAGGGAGATCCATGTGTACCCCAACATATATATATATATTATAACAAAAATGAATTCACATTTCTTCATTTTCTGTTTGCTTTTGTATCAATTTTTGTCAACACATCATAGCGCTTGGAATGAAGTGAATATAACAGTTGGCGGCATAGCGGTACCAAGTGATTACCGACTCGGTCTTCTATATCCTTGCACATCTTCTTTGAGAAGTAATAATAAGGGTTAATTATTAACGTTATTAGGTCAATAGGAATTTGCAGGCTTTCTCTTGCTAAAACTAGACTACCTTCGTGTAGTATTTTGCCGATAAGAGATGTTCTTATTTGTGATGTTGTTTCACACAGTAGGATAAAATGTTCAATAGTTTCATCAGCTTTATTACAGAGTCAACACATCGGATTTGTTGCATAATTTGAATATTCCGCTTTTAATATTAGATTGCAGTATGTAGGTTCCTGTGACTAATTTGGAGCAAATAGACAGTTTCTTTATCTCATTTATATTTGCACTTATTGTTTTAAGTGAAGGATGGATTCTGCCAATATCATATTCACATTCAAGATATCTTAAGGTTGAGTACCCCTTCATTTTGGTCTTTATGGCATCCTCCCAGTACTTGTGAATCTTTTTGGTTATAAACCTCTTACATTCAATTTTTGTTAATGGCTTTTCAAGATACTGTTCTAACTCTACGATGTCATATTTGCCACATATCTTTTTCAGATTAATAAACCAGCTATTGCTTGAGTAGGTTTTAATTTGAAGTTGACGTTTCGCTATTCTCCACTCTAAGGACGATCTTTCAGCTCTGGTTATATTCCCAAATAGTGTTATAATTTTAATATGGATCTCTGCTTCAAGTGGGAGTAAAAGGCCTGATAATAAATAGACAGCCGGGTCAGCCACATTTAGTTTGAGAGATAAAATCTGTTTAATCCACCTTTTATGTTGTTGTTGTATAATATCTAAGTTTTTACCTGATGGTATCAAGATTTCTAGGCCGTAGGTCAAAACTGGTAAGATATATGTTCTAAATAAGGAAATTAGTGTTTCAGGGTCTAATCCATTTTCCCCATGTAATCCTGCACCCATAAGACTGTACATAGATGTTCTGGCTTTTTTTATATTTTCAGTAACATTAGTAGTGAAGTTTGAATATGTCTGATCGTAGAATTTCATGTCCGTTCATGTCTTTTCATTTCTTCGTTCAGGTCCGAGTTTTGGAATCAATAATTTGTTTCTTATTTAAAACATTTTATCTTTATTATCACGTGGATCTTTACCTTTTATAAAATTCTGACTTGGAGAAAATCCTTTGAATAGTAAAAAAGTAATTGTAATTTGAATAAATCGAGTAGTATATCTTCAGGTCTATTCAGGTCGTTTAAGGTCCACGTTCAGGCCTTTAGTGTAACCCCAGAAATTACCTCCCTTGGCAAAGAATACGAATTATTTACCCAAATATTTTTAGTGTAAAATTAAACAACACATTCGTGGAAGAATTTTTATAATTAAAAGAATAAGTAGTAGTAAGTACTGTATGCACCGATGTGATAAAATTTAGTAAGGATAATCAACCAAGGAACAAATACAAATAACACAATATATATTTTGAAGAAATAAATTAAAAAAAATTCTGTCACTACTTGATGACCACATAAAAATAAATTGCACTCATTTGCATCACTGTTGAATCACTGAACAGGACACACTCCTCTTTTTTGTCGTAGCACTTCAATCCTTTGTGGTAGGAGACATCCAGTTCACCACCCTTTTCATATATATTTTGAATAGAGGGGCGTAAAGGGGGGTATCTGCAAGAAAGAACGCGAAATAAAATTGCCATTTCACGATGAACGAACTATTAAAAATTTCTTGCACGTTGATCTTTTTACCTATTTCATGAAACACAGTAAATAACGAACCTTTTTCACGGCTGCACGAAAATAACCCTTTACCACCCTCTGAATATATTCAAAAGATGCATACCCTGTCATATATGTTTTTGACATTTTTAACAATGGACCATAAGTTATATTACACTATTTCATGAGAGTAATTTTGACTAGATTTGTCAAATAGCTGATGCATTCTTTAAGTTTGTTTATTTTGGGGGAGCACTCCTGAGAATTGGAAGTTAGAGGACCAAAAATGGCTGTAATTTTACCTATAAACTTAATTTTTTTTTCTTTTATTAGAGAGGGGCATCTAAATCAGTGCCTGCTGTTGTTTTAATAACACATAATTGTCGATATGTGTTCAAATGCTGAATTCAATAAATGTTGAACTTTAACATGTTTAAATTTTCATTGATAATTAATAGAAATGTTTAACCTTTTATGCTCTCAAGCATTTGGAATATCTTATTTTATAAATTTGCAATACCAGACAAGTACATCAAACAGCTTTTAATTGCCCTATTAAACAATGTAAAACCCCTACAGCATAGCAGGCTTTGATTTTCTGTGCTGAAATGGGGTGTAAGAACCTCATCTTTAATTTGTTAAATTGATCAAAGTTGTGCTATCTTTTTCATATTTATTTTTTAAAATGTTCTAATATGCATTATGTATTATGATATATCTCAGAAATCAACATTTATTTTTTGTATGTTTGAGTTATTTTTAAGAATGTTTTTACTTTTTCTAGACAAATGAAATGGACAGTGAAGTTTGTAGAGACGGAAGATTAATGGATTTAGTGGATGAAGAATGGAGAAAAGATAAATTACCAATGGAAGATATTAATGTTCCACAGATGGAATTACCCGAACTAGAACCAGATAATGGACCAACCAACGAAACACTTACTGAACAGGAACAAAAGTGGACGGACTTAGGATTATCAGTTTTACATGAACATCCACCAACTACAACCAACAATTAGACAAATTTGAAGAAATACTCATGGGTTTTTTGAATGACCATCAAATCTTCATACATCGAATTAAAAACAAGTGCGCTGTACATGTTGGAAAATGAGGATGAATTTCTGCTTGCATATCAGAAAATATAACAGATCTATATAAGTTTCAGCAATATGTCAATGTATGTGAATGATTATTGAACTGAAAAATAAGAAAAATACTGATATCCCTATGCTTTTGTTTTCCTTAGTATTACTTCATTGAGACAAAATAGATGCTTGTGTCTTTAATATATGGGAAAAAAATATTAATTTCATTCGTTGGTAGTATACATGTTACTTACAAAATGTATGAAATAAAAATTCAACTACTTAAAACTAATTATTATTCAAGAGTAGATTATCAACACCAGCTGGAAAATCTGCAAAATTTCTCTACTGTAAATAAAAGCTAGGTACACATATTTAAGTAATGAACTAACATTCTATAAAAAAATATAAACCAATTGTTAAGAGAAAAATTGGAGATCTTTCCACCTGTCTCAAATTGTCTTTTGATAAGAAAATTTGGATGAAAATATAAATCTTACAGTCGGATTCCAAACGAAAATTTATGGTGTTTTTTTTAAAGGAAATAACGAGATAATTAGCAATTTCCAGTTTATCATGTTTATTCAAAGTCATTTCTGATGTAAAATAATAGTTTTCTTTACACTGATTCCAAAAACGTATTGTTTCTATATACGTTTTAATGAAAAAATGGAGATGATTTGTTGCTTCCTGTTTACCAATAGATCACTTCCAGTTTCATATGATGTATCACTTCACCATGTTGTTCACACTGATTTCAAAAATATATTGTTTCTAGCGCAAAAATGGGTACTTCCATGTAATTTAGACAAGATCACTTCTAAATGACTTTTTCAAGATAATATGTCTCCTCAACTAATGCAAAAGACCCCATGGTTCTAACTTGTACCAGTATATAGTTATAGCCAAGGTCAATATCTAGAACATCAACCTTTCACCTTGATTTTCTTATCTAGGACTTGA